GCCGCCGGGTCTTGGCCGATTACGTTAGTGATCGTGTCGGACAAGTAGTCTGTTATTCGTGCGTCGTGGCTTGCTTCGAGCGTCATCCGATGGGGAGGATGTAAGTTATAAAGGTTTTGGTAGAAGGTCCAAAACTCAGCAGCTATCTTCTGTGGGAAGGGGGTCACCTCACCCGAGGCCAGTCGCAGTTGTCGTATTTGCCTGCAGGGCATAGGGCCCTTGAGTAGCCTAGCCAGGTATCTCCCCCCCCTTATTAGCGTGGGCATAGTAGAACCCTTTCGTACGTTGTAGACTGCGAAGGTGTTTTCGTGTTGTTCTGTTGGATTGTGTTGCTTGTTCCTGAGTATATCTTGGAGTACCCAGTGGAGGAGAGTCCCTGCTAGGTCTAGGTCTCCGCTACAGTGATATTAGGAGAAAGTTACAAAAGCTGGAGGGGATTGCAGGGATGTTTATTACACAGTTAATGGAAGTTGCAAACAAAGTATATATGAACAGGGATGTTGAAATAAAGCGTGAAGAGGAATGTAGGATGAAAAGGAAGGTGGATATGTTAGCTGTAGCAATTACAGGAGTGGGCAGACAAGCAGGTGATAGAAGGAGAGGATGGGGATGTGAGACTAGGAACGACAGGTCACATTTAAGTAGTGTTATGGACAGAAGAATTAAAATAAAATGGCTATTTACTAATGTGTATTTATTCTGTGTTCACTATGTTAAAACTGGCTGCTAGAGTAAATATTCCCCTCCCCCCCCTACAATGTGTTCAGTCACTATTTTCTCTGCAAATTCCTCCCATCCTGCTAGCCTCCCCCCTTCCCATCGAGCAAGCCTCATGTAACAAATTCCTGTGTTAAAAGAACATCTTCCTTTATTAAACTCCTCCCCCACTTCCTTTGTGCAAAGTAACAGCTATGTGCCACGTGTAACAGAATGGAGAATCACTGTTAAAGTAACTACTACTCACTTCCCCCCTCCCATCGTGTAACCAAAATGGAGCCGAAATATGGGTGAGAGAACTCTGTAATGACGACACTACATCCTGTAGGGGGGGTTTAGACAAGACCCCTTAGACTGTTAACCAATTGATGAATGTATACTGTATGTTAACTGTGACTCTGTACATGACGTATTTCTGCTTTAAAAGGGAATTGCACCCCCTGGAAAAAAGGCCACTCTGGAGTTCTTCATAAACCTGCAATGTGTCCGGTGTGATTTACTTCCAGAAGACATGCGCACAATCAATTTAGAAAGGAGTAGATAGACAAATAATCAAAGTTTTCTTTGATCTAAAACAGTAGAAACTAGTGAGCCTATTGTAAAGAGGAAGGACACTGGAAGAATGAATGCCCACAAAGGGGATACAAAGCAAGTTATAGGCAAGATGGAATGAGGGGACAAGGAGGTTACAAAGGGAATGAGGGTCAGAATAGAGGTGAGGTTCAGGATGGTAGATATTATACTCAGTCTCAGAGACCAGCAGATAGGGATTTCATGGGTCTGGCTGATACAATCTGGGAAGACTATTGAAACAGACTGGGCTGCATCCCCCTTGGCCAAGCGGAGCCTATGGTCGAGTTAACAATAGGGGGGAAAGAAAAGTGCTTCTATGATTGACAAAGGTGCTGAACATTCAGTGGTGACAAAATTAATAGCCCCATCCTCCGGAAAGACTGTCACTATTATAGGGGCTACAGGGAAAGAGGACTACTGAACTTAGGAGGAAAAGATATAAAATACGCATCTGAGATTATCCAATTGTTGGAAGCAGTATGGCAACGAGTTATAGAATAAGCTTTAACGGTGGCAGAAGTGACACCCTGGTTACATCACTATAGGGTCAAACTAGCGGCAGATTTATGGCAAGCCACCCCTGGTCCTGAGAATCTTTGCAAAATCTGGTTAAAATGCAACACCCAGTCACTAGGGCGTGACCAAGCAATCACAGGGACAGGAATCTAACTTCAGGTCCACACCTGTGTATCTTCACCGGGTGGACATTAAGAGCTACAAGTAGGTGTGTTGATGGTCATAATAACACCTGACCACCTACCAACGTTACATAGTCAGAGTGTCACTAAGGGATCTCTGTGAAGGGAAGAGGATAAGACGTACTACATTTCTTGCAGCTCTCACATCCGGAAGCTGGGGTGCCATCGCACGGTCGAAAAATTATAGGATGACTTCTGCTATAATGTGTTGTTTTCTCGTTTGTTTTATTGTTTTAATGACATGTATGCAGTGGGTGGAATCTGATCCAACAGGTTGTGGTAAATGCATTAAGACAACTAGAACTGGTAATCAGATATTAAAAACCCTCATCTGGCATTTGTACTATGAGTGCAAAGGATCTGTGTCTAAATGCAGATACTTAGACACTGATTATAGTGTCTGCAAGCCAGTTTCAGGTGAACCAAAATGTTTTGACCCCCAACTCCAACCTTGTACAATTTGGTTGGTTCTCCGAAACGCACATTTTCAAGAGACTTTAATAAATAAGACTCTAATTAGTACTACCACATCCCTGGGCATCCTACTTTTTGATGCATGTAAATCAATTTCAGGTAGTGGGAAACCCTGGAATAGATGTGACACTTTGGATTGGGAACAGACCTACGGGTTCAATTATAAGTACTTGTGTTCCAGTAAAAGACCCATTAATCCTGATTGTCAGATTAGGGATTTCAACTTCTGCTCATACTGGTCGTGTGTAAGACTGGGGAAGACTGTAGATCAAGGCCTAAAGATTTAAAGGCTACCTGCCACCCCACCCCACTCTCCTCTCCCACCCCCCCATTGTAAATCAATGGAGTGTGACCTTGTTTACCTTATTTCAAATCCCCACCAGTTCATCAGTAAGTCTGGAAATCTTTATGGCTTCTAGATATACGGTATGGGTACAGACCCAGGGGCCATACTATATATAGGACTCGTAACAGAGACCTTAAGTGCTCAAACTCACCAGGTATTTCACTCATTCTATGAAGAGATGAGCACTGAAGTTGGAATCCCTCATACAGTCAAAAACGTGTTTATTGATCTGGCAGAGAGTATTGCAAGTAGCTTCAATGTAATCAACTGTTTTGTTTGTGGAGGTACTAATATGGGAGATCAGTGGCCATGGAAGGTGTAATAAGTGGGGGGACTGATTAACAGCCAAACTGTATGCCAATGAAGTGTTATTGTGTTCTAATACAGGGATTCAAGCCCCATTCTACCCTTAGGCAATAATGGAGTCCTCTGTGAAGCACGTGGCCTTTCACCAGGCAAAACCAGTTGGTTTGTTGATAAACTCCTCCTCCATTCCCTTCCAGTGCAATCCCCTTTCCCCCAAGAGGCACTCTAAGGGATTGAGGGAGGTGTGTCGAGCAGAAGGAAGGGCTAACCTGTTAAAAGCCCTGTGAATAGCACATTCTCTCTCTCTTTGAATTCACCCTCCTCACTCTCTTTCTCTCTCTCTTTCCATTCCCTCTCCCCACTATACACACATCCTCTCTCTCTTACTATCAGCTGGTGATCAATGGAGTGGTAACTGTATCAGGTGTCTATGCCTGCTTTACTGTCTTAGTTTAGCCTACTTTCCATTCAATCAATGGCTAATTTTGGTAGCAACATTTACTAGCCTATTTCAAATGTATATGTATTGTTTGTTTGATTAGCCTCTTAATAAATATTATTGCATTGCCGAAAGCAAGGAGTGTGGACTCTGACTTTACACTCAGTTTTTAAGTTATTATTTGAAATTATTATTTTTAGTTATTAATGTTATTATTAATTCCAAGTTTACTCCAACTTGCGAGTTAAATTTTATTACAGGAGGCAAGAGAAGTATGGTACCCAGATACTGGAATTAATGATCAATAATTGCCTTTCCACTTTACAAACCCGGCCAACTTACAGGATAAAATCAGAATGGCTACTAAAACCTTCCATAATTGGCCATGTGGAAGTATAGACCTTTAGCCCAGAGAGAGGTAACATGCAATCCAGTATTCGAATCCTGATAAAGTTTATACAGGAGCCCCAGGGCCAAGCTAAAAGTTCTGTTGCTCTCTCCTGTCTTGTGATTACCAGATTGGTATTAGCAATCTCTGATAAGTGATGCATCTGAGTACTTAGTACCAGAAGCATCAAAGGGGGGAATGTGACAGGATTTCAGCTAAGCCCAAAATCTACACGTGTCATATCTGTATCTAAGTTACACGTAGCCAAGTTACAGTAATCAAATATAATGAGCATGTGCAAGACCTGAAACCACATTCCATTCTCTCCTAGTCCCATATTGCCTATCCATATAAGGTAATTCCGTGTATACAGTTTACTGATTGGTGTAAGGGTACAGTTGGGGGATGTATAGTCTATAAAAAGCCTGTAATTCAAGTGCTCAGACTTGGACAGTCGACGACCCGGCTGGTTAAAATAAACCTGTTTGCTTCCTGAATATACCTGTGTTCGGACTCTCTGTGCATGGCTTCATCACTGTTTTCCCATAACACATGGACTTTTCACTCACATAAATGTTATAATGCACGCTGCTTAAATAAGTCCCTTTAAATGTTAATGAGCTGATGAATCTTAAGCTCTCTCAATTGCTCTCAGCCCTAAAGATTTTTAATTGTTTGATGGCTGATCTTTTTTAAACTAAATTACACACAGCAAAAAATGAGAAAAGGAAGTGACCTGAGTCAATTTTGCTCCTGAACTCTTCTTTTTCTCCTGTGTATTCATGTTCTTATTTATATACCCTTTAATTCAGTGTACTCTTGGTTCCTGGCCTTACGTGGTATACCATTCCTGATGTAAAAATGTAAACAAAAAATTGGAGTAACACTTGTAACATATCTGTAATATGTCAGGCTTTATTCAATATGTCTATATTAACATACATATTTATGTATCACGATCCATAAATAATAAATAAAATAAAAAAGTCAGTTTTGCAGTGGTCAATTGTAATTGATGTTAAGGATTTTCAGTAGTGTGCTCTAATTGTACTTGTCTGACTATTCTTCTGGTTCCTTTCACTCCCAGCTAAATTTCTTATGACTCTAATGAATGGTATGGTAATTGCTGTCAAGAACACCTAACATGCCCTTATTTAAACCACCTTGTTCAGAGGACGTAGCTTATTTAACCAGGAAGGTATTTCTACTGTCTTTTCTTCTTGAAGCTCTGCAGTAGAGATTGTTGTGTAATTTAACTATCAAATGATGCTGCACTCTGCTTCTACTGGTCTAAGCAGAGATAGCAAAACTATTAAATCTGTTCTGGATTCACAGATCTCTTCATGATCCCTCAAGGTCCACTCTTTTATATTCTTCCCAGATTTCAATTGGATTAATAATGTATCTCTACACAGCATGTTATTACAGACCAGTTTCCCAGTTTCCCAGGACCAACGATGTCCACTTTTAAAAATGAATTGGTTTAATATTTCATACTAGCATATATACGGGCAAACATACATTCCACCAATAAATAAGCTGTAGAATTAGGCGCACCCTTACAAGGTGAACATATACTGCTGCATCTGACATTCTCACCCTTATACCACAATTCTGGAAGTCAGGTACAATGTACACCCTCCAGCCATGGAAATCTAAAATCGAATAGAAACATAGAATGTGACGGCAGATAAGAACCATTCGGCCCATCTAGTCTGCCCAATTTTCTAAATACTTTCATTAGTCCCTGGCCTTATCTTATGGATAGCCTATCCCACGCATGCTTTAACTCCCTCACTGTGTTAATCTCTACCACTTCAGCTGGAAGGCTATTCCATGCATCCACTACCCTCTCAGTAACAGATATACAGATATATAGCATGGAAGCTGTCTTTATTATAGATTAGTCACCTGTACTACTCTTTGGTTACCTTGATTAGAATATAAGTCTAGACAGAATCATCCCCATATCGATGAAAATCCCAGTTGACACGTTTTCTCAGTAGTTGGTGTGTTTCCATTGAAAAAAAGACAGTCACCAATGTGTGTTTCGTGCGGCAAACTAATTCCCTTTAACCTTTCCGTCTCTGCTCCTTATAAACTGTCAAATTCTTCTCTATGTTCTTTCTCCATTGGTTTTCTGTGATGCTAGATGACCTTAACTCATTCTGTACACAAGAGTACCTGGGACTTGCATTTGCTATGTATTGTTAGATATATAAGAAATGTGTTACATCAATGCATACTATGCAATTGAAACAATTAAAAGAATGCTCTAAATATATAGTATATTTTGCTTGCTCTGGTATTCTACCTGTTCTTTTCTGTTTCTATGGTATTACTCAAAACATCAGTGTTAAATTGAGATTCTCAAAAATATGTTACATAATACCTTGCTGGGCGGACCAGATCATATAATATGTATTAAAGCTACACTCTAAATAAACCTGTGTCATCTATTATTTGTTTTACAAAAAGTGTAGATTTCAACAAATATTGGCTATAAATGAACCTTGCTACACCCATCCAGCTATAAGTCAGACAACCGGTCTTGTTACTTACTGGCTTGTTTAGTTCAACCAGTCACACAACTAGTCTTGTTACATCCTGGTTAGTGAAACTAAACTCAAGAGGCAGCAATTGCCCAGAGCACCTGCCTTGCAAAGATTTATTGAGCTGCATTGAGAAGTCTGTGATTGGACAGCCACAGAAAGTCTGGGCTGGGAAAGAAGGGGACGGCTTGCAAAGGCTGCAAACAAGAGAGGGGTGGGGCCGGGCCACTAACCTGAGCAGCGGCCATCTCCCGTTGCTCAGTGCTCGGGCCCCTGCCAAGGGCAAATTTTATGCTTACTAAACAAATCTGCACCCATGCCTCTAAGTGATTAAGGTGTGGGAATACCGAAGCTTCCTAATGATACCTGCACCAATGCTGGGTGCACCGGAAGGATAGAGCCGTAACACTTTTGGGCCTACCTGGGCACATGGCCCCGAAGCCTGCAGCTAGCTGTCTCGGAGGGGCTTCCGCACTGCCATGAGGAGCTGCAATATGTGCACGTGTGGAGTGAATGGTGGTCGGCCCCATTCCCCCCCCAGTCGGAGGGATTATTCCCGGCTCTTTAGATGGAGTTTTGGACTGAGACGCAGCTAGAGATGATGGCACCTCCACGCAGGGGGGGGGTTCCTCCCCCCGTTCCTCTTTGAGTGCAACACACAAATTCATGCGTTTGCCTGGAGGACAGACAACGGATACATACCCGCAGTGAAGAACTGCTGCATGCTGTAATGGTGCCCTCAAGGATGGCTGCCTGCGTGGAGCCCACGGGCCGCCTGACCTCTTAAGTGGCGGAGGCCTCGCTCTGCGGGTTTGAGGGGAGGTCCTGGAGCGAATAGTCCCTGATTCTGAGAGCCCTGTGGGGTCAGTCTGCACGATCCTTCGAAATACCAGTGACTGGAGGTGAAGCACACCTGCAACATGTGTGTGGCTGGAGTTTGGTGAGACTTGAGGCAATTCACGCCTGACAGGAGCTAAAGTGGATAAGGGGAGGTGCAGGAGTAAAGTGGTCTGCGGATTCTTGGTGGGGGGGTCCAGTAGACTGTGACAAACTCTGAGTGCCATGAGGGTGTAGCGGGGTTCTCAGAACCCTGGGGGGCTTTATGTTTGCTGAAGAGGAAGAAAAGAAGGTGTACTGCACTTATGTCTTGCGGCTGAGATGTGCTTCCGCTTGGGAGTTGAGAGTGGGGACTTTGGAGTGAGGGAATTAAAAATGTGTTGTTTTATCATTTATTTATTTAAATGTATTTAATTTTTTTAACATTTTCCTAATGTCTGGCCGTACGTGCCTGGTTCAAGATCCTTGGGGGCACTGGGATCTAGTCCCGTATATGCTCGAGCATGGGTCTTCACATAATGGGCATAACTCCTTTTTCTGTAACCCCTCTATGTTGAGGATTTGACATCATAATTTTTTTTTCTTCTTCCTTTTTTTCTTTTCACTCTATTTATTTTTTGCAGAGCTTTGTTTTAGCCATTATGCTAACTATCATAGTAATAATGCATTTTCTATGTATATGCATGCTCTTATTTGATGCATACCATAGCCCTTTGTTACCTGGAAGTCACGCATATTATTATTGGTTCAGCACAATGTCCTATCTCGCCTACTTAAGCTATGTTCTACTACGCTATGAAGTGTTTTAGTCTCACATCAGTTTAATACTGCGTTACCATGCCGTAATGTGCTGTGTTTCTAATTTACGCGTGTTTAATTTTGATGTACGCCTTATCTCTTGCCTACATAGAATTAACTTTAACAAGTTGTAATGAAAAGGGCCATTCCTAAACTTTGAATGTAGCTGGCCTACGTGCTTAGGTCTAATTAGGTGCGGTAATAACGCAACCAGTTAAGTTTCCTTAAGCAGACCTACGCAGTCTGACCAATATATCATTATGTTTACAATTGATACCTGCAGATAATTACTCTTGTATGTACTGTTAATTGAATGCTAACCTTTTTCACACACACACTGGCTTTGAATCATTATACCTTAGTATTACATGTTTACCTACTACAAACAGCATATCTTGTTAGAGCCACTCTAAACCATGATCTATGCTGATTAATACTAAATTCTTACTATACGCATGCATGGTCACATACATTTGTATTGGAAAACTATGGTTATTAAGACCTGCTAGCATGCTTCTGCCTACTGATTAATATGCCATTACATTGACGCATTATGTCACCAGATTATCTCTAGGCTTCATTCTTTAATGTTGAATTTGTATAACTATACGATCCAACCAGATGCAGTTACATATGTTTCCGCAGTATAAGTTACTATGCCTGACTGTGCCAGTTTGCTATTCTCTATTATGATCCTCTGCTGACCTAATAGGCCTCGGCGCAGGAAAACGTATGTTTCTCACCTTCTTTGAACTGTGCCTGATTTTATTTTGCGCTCAAAAATACAATAAAAAGATTTAAAACAAAGGCTGCAGACAAGAGACCTGCCTTGTTTGCAAGCTGTTATTAAGATATTCCCCAAAGAAAAGAACGCACAATTAAATACACGCATCTTGTCATTGGGGATATATCTACTAAAAAGTTAATTATTTATTGTATTTGGGCAGGTGAGTGTCCCTTTAACCCATGTATGCATTGCATAGAAAAGCATTGTTGTACCACAAAGTTGAACTGTTCTTCTCAAGGTATCCTTAAGTAAAATACCCTGGGTACATCTTCACATGGCTGCTAAATATTACAATACTGAAATAAACACAAATGACAGACAAAGGTTGTTTTTTTTAGAAAAAAAAGTCTTGCTATTTATAAAGCATGTACACATGGCTTAATACGACAAAATCCTCTCATGTGTAACATCAGAAAAGTGCTGCATTCCCCCACAATCTGAACTTAAACCCAGCTTCCTTGATAAAAAAAAAGCTCCTGGTGTTTTAACCATTTTCTACTAATGGTGTCCTCCACAAACTCCCAGAATTAAAGGCATAACCCTTATTTACTATCACCTTCAAAATTTGAAAACATTCAAACTTTCTTTAGTGTTTAGGGATAGTCATGTTTGAGATTCGGGGAGATGAGATGGTCAGCCCTGCTTCTGTCTCTTCAGTCTTCCACAGGTCACACGGGTGATAGATCCAGGATTTCAGACTACAATGTACCGGCTCAGAACCAATAAGACTGCTGAGTTTGTCAGCAGAGCCTGAAGTACGGGACCGGAGGCAGAATTTTCCACCATCATGCTTGTACCTATCATGATAATAACAAAAAAAGACAGACATGAATTAATCCAGGATAATATTCAAACAGTTTTAAAAATAAATGTACAGGAGAGGTTAGTAAAAGATGGCAGTTAGTAAAAGATGGCATGTCATAGATGGATTCAGTCCAACTCAGTCAGATTCTACTTCTGATTCTATTCACTTTTTTATCACCGTGTATTGTATTACCTAGCCAAACTTGCACCTTCCTGTTAGATTGGTTATAAACCAACCATATGGAGCACTATTATGTCTTTGTGTTTGCTAGGTCTGTTTTTTTGAATCTGTTATTGTACAGCTTTCCAGTGTAGTATGCACAGCTATATTTGATCATTTTTCTGGTCCTTTGGCCATACCATTAGCAACTAAGACACACTGCTCTTCACTTCCTTGAAACCTTCAGAGGTGTTAACCAAACACAGACTTTTTGCAAATTAAACCCAATTCTAAACTAACTGATATGAAAAAAATCCCCAACTTAGCTATAGTTGCACTATGGCTATTTAAACGTACATTTTGCCTGTAGCTTCCCCTTGGGTGCACTAAATCGCACGTTCCGACCCCTCCGGTGGTTGCACTACACTTGTTTATCGTTCTCTTGAAAGTCTGCAGACGAGGTCACGGCTCTTTGCCTGGACTTTTAACGAAACGACGAGTGGGACCAGACGATACTCTGATTTGACATGTTCCTTAATCCTATTCAACATCTGATATATGTGCCAACCATTATCTGCCCGTGTTTATTCCAACTATTGATCTTTATTCAAGTTGTAATTTTTTGTTATTCGTTGTTAATTTTGAAAATATCTAAAAAACATTTTGCCATTTGGAATGAATTCACTAAACCTTTGTGATTAGTGAATAGTGCTGCGTAATATATTGGTGCATTGTAAATACCAGTAGTAAAAAAATAAACGCTGCTTGAATCCTGAGGTAGAGTATGGCATATAAGGTACACACCTTAGTTCAGTATCCTCTGATCTCCTGATTTTTATTTGACAATGTGATCAGACTCCTCATATATTCTAGCCCTACAATAATGCAGGTAATACACTAAGCAGTATCCTACCTCAGTCCATATTAGCAACAATGACAAGAATGCTGCATGGACAAATAGCATTAGATATAGGGAACCAATATATGATACAATGGGAGGAATTTTATTGGACACACTGTAGGTTTATTCAGATTAATATTATGAATTATATTGGGTTGTATGGGGCAATAATAATAGTTATAGGAGGATTGTTATGAGCAGAAGTCATTGTTACCAGAATCTGTGGGAATATGAACTTCTGAGGCGGCCCCATCTCCTCCTTTCCCCGTGGCCCGTAGCTGTATGGTCACATGGCTGGCTCCTTCAGGCAGTGGAAGCTCCATTCGTGTCTTGCTGGTTACATAGAGGGTCGGAGAGGACTGAGAATCCAAACGATAGAGCATCTGTGGAGGGTTCAGATTAAATTAATACCCATCTACTGACAGGCTTATTCACGGAAGTAAGAATTGTTGGAATTTCCCATTTAAGGACAAAATAGTCAAACTTGAAAAATTCTTCAATTAAGCTGTGCTTCCAGTCTGTTTACTTTGGCCTTAAATATGGCATTATCGTTGCTTTGATTAGCTGTGAATCAGTTCTGTTCATTCTGCAATCTTACATTTTCTTTAGTTTCCTTTTTTTGAAAATGTTTTCATAAATGAATTGGCACAATCTATTTGCTCCACCCTCAGTGGGGAGTTAGGTAGACAGCTATTTTCTTTAGAATTTATAATTAGCATCAATGTGTATTTGTCAGTCAATGACTGTTTGCTCCACCCTAAATATTTCAGCTCTATTAATTCAATTAAATCGAAATGATAGCTGAGCTTTATCCTGTGGATATAACTGATTCCACTCATTCAGACTGAGACACAGTGGTTAATAGCAAAATAGCCAAGATAGAAGGAGATGGGAGTCAGGGCTGTTTAAAAAGGCCATGTTGTACTTAGTCTTGATGTTAAATGAACACTCCAAGCACCATAAGCACTACAGTGTGTACTGTAAAAAAGTTTTCCTTAAAATGACCTATATCTAATTTAACAATTGCTAGAGCTATGTACAGTGAAAAACCAAATGTAATCAATTTACTGACTAAAATCCATATGTACAATTTACTGCCAATGTCAACAAAGGCTACATAATTGTTAAAGTATGAAAGAGTATTAAATGAACATTATAGCATTAGGAATACAAAACTGTATTCCTAATCCTATAGTGTCCCTGTCCTTAGTTATATAGAGGCCATGCCCCAGTTTGCAATAAAAAATAATAAATAAAAAGCTTTACTTACCTTTTTCCAACACCAGGCTCTCAAAGCACTGCTTACCTCTCCACCTCCTGCAACGTCATTGAGGGGGCTTGGCCTACCATTGAAATGGTCCTCATAGGGGATCATTGGGGACCTGATTTGCATGCGCAGTGATCGCCACACGCGCATCCAAGCCTCCACATAGACATGCATTGTATTCAGTACTTTCCTATGAGTTTCTGTGTCACATGACCAAGTTTTACTCGGCCAGGGCAGTGGAAGCGCCTCTAGTGGCTCTCAGGAAGACACTAGAGGTGGATTTAAGATTGAAATGCAAGCATTGCACTTTCTAAAACAGTGCATTGTCTTACACTTCAGGGTAACAGGACAGGGCCACTCCTAGCAGACCGTTTCAAACAGATGAAGTGGTCTGGGTGGCTTTAGTGGTCCTTTAAAAGGACAACAATGATCTTTCGCATCAGGTATTTTCATAATTTCTCAACGAACAGTCCTTACCTTGTACCCCGTGACTAATGATTCATTCTTTAA